ACCCTTTCCTGTGAGGAAGTTCTTAGAATTCTTCAAAGGATTTAGCCAGCGTTCTGGGTTCTGGGGTACGTCTCTGAGGAGCTTGAACGCCAAATCGAAGAGCACCTTCTTCCGTACGAGGCTTTACACTTGCTGAAACTCAGCTTTCTGAAGAAGAATTATTTTTTGCTCTGACCTGGACAGGGCACGTGCAAAAGGCAATTCAGAGCAAAGCGGCTCAGCTGGGATCTGAATGTTCTCTCCGGCTGTGTGAATAAACGTTTGCACCTACTAACATGAAAAAGGCTGAGGGCGGCAGCAACTTTGCAAAACTGTGGGAGGGAGCTCACAGCGGCAGTGCAGCGTGGGCAGGCCCCGAGGGAGGCAGTGGGGGAGGCCTCAGAGGTCCTGGTACTTCTTAGCACAGGGTAAGCGTGCCCGGCCGGCAGTTTTCTTGGAGTCAACAGTCAGTCACTGTGAGGGTCAGAGTTCAGGACCAGGAGTCGGAAGATTAGGGCATGGACAATCTGTGACCCTAAGCACGTCATTTAGTTTCTCTGCCTTAGTTTTCTTATCTGTACAGTGGGAGTGACGGTGCTGTTATCCTCTCTCCAGTGTTTTGTCAATTAACAAGATCAATCAAAAGTAGTAAGTTATTTTGAAACATTCTGGTCAAAGATCTTTGCAATAAGTAGATCTGACCACATTAAAACGCTGCTTAAAAATCTTTGGCCCACAGGTTAGTGCCATATTTCAGCACAGCAGACACGTTTCTTCTCCATCCAACTGCAAGGTCCTGTCCCTCCACTTCTTTCAACTGCCCTGTCCTCCCACCACACACATCTCTCTAGAGATCTTAATCAAACAGGCTTCTTCACACTTCTGTCCAGGCTGTTTCCTCTGCCTGTGATGTCTTTTTTTAGACCCCATCATGAACTTCTTTTTTTTTTTTTAATGCTTTTTTTTGGTGAGGAAGATTGGCCCTGAGCTAACATCTGTTGCCAATCATTCTTTTTTTTCTCCCCAAAGTCCCACTACATAGTTGTATATTTTAGTTGCAGGTTCTTCTATTTCTGCTATGTGGGATGCAGCCACAGCATGGCCTAATGAGCAGTATGTAGGTCCACCCCTGGGATCGGAACTGGTGAACCCCAGGCCACTGAAGTGGGGTGCAGGAACCTAACCACTCGGCCACAGGGCCAGCTCCCACACCTGTGATGTCTTGACTTTCCTCGTTTGCTCTGGAGCTGGACATTGGGTTTACATACCTCCCTCCCCAGACCCTTGAATTCTTCCTTTATAAGCGGAATGAACTTGCACAATTTATTTAGCTAATCCGAGCTTCAGTTTCCTCATCTCTAAGTTGGGAATGATAATAATTCCCGGTGGCATAGCTGGAGGTTGAGGGGAAGTGAGAGGGAGCATGTGTGCTGTCCCAGACACGATGACCCTTGAGACCCAGACGAGACGACGTCAGGGGAAGCAGTGGGAGAGCCGGCTCTGTTCAAATGCGTTTGAAACATTAGCAGTCAGAGCAGGAGACGCCCAGGGGAGAGCCTGCCGGTGCCTCTGAGGTAATCTCCAGACAAGCCGATGCGAGGGTTAAAGCAGAGAAGGTCGCTGCAGTGTTTGGCTCAGGACTTGATCCTTAGAGCTCAATAAACATTCGTTATGACCCATTTTTTTTATTTGATTGTTCTTTCATCGGTGTTCCCGTGGCGCTTTGCTCATTACTATGACATCACTGCCTTGGGGGAAGTTGCTCAGCGGCTCTGCTCCTCAGCGCCCTCATCTGTAAGGTGGGAATGATGGCAGTCCTACTGGTGCTGGTGGTGTGAAGCCTACCTGAGTTGACCCGTAAAAGCTCTCTGAACGCTAAGCACCCACAAGGTGTGGCCGGTACAGTCATTTGCTGTGAGGGAGTCAACTGACAGGGTCAGAGGGCTGGGCCTCATAAACGTGGGTAAATTCAAGTAATCTGGGGAGAGCAAATATGTTAAATCGCCCTCTAGCGAGGATCTGGAGAACTGCAGCCGTTGAGGACCACCTTCTGATTCTTGGGCATCCGGGCAGTGGTGCTGGGTCCGTTGAGTTGTATATCCCATGCTTCATTTCCCTCCTGGGTTTGGCTAGCTTTATGGAGAAACAGGAGGATTTCAAATGTAAAGGCAACAAAAAATAGTACATGGCCCATGCTCCAGCACAGGTGAGAGCTTATGCCTTCTGCCTTGTGAAGTTGCCTGTGGAGGGAAGACTTTGGAAAAGATGCCTTTTGTAGAAGGCATACCAAGTAAGTATACAGATGTAGGTCATTGTATTCAACTGAACCTCTTCAAAGACCTATAGTTAGTCTGGGTAACAAGTATTGGTCAGAAAGCAGCCATATTGGGGATTGTGTTGACATCTGTCTAACTCAAAACATGCGTACGGCTTGAGGGAATGAGCTGAGGCTGAGGGTGAAAATGCATTCCTCAACCAGAGCCATTCTGGTTTCTCAGGCCCCCTTTGTGGCTCACCACCTCCCCACGAGTCTGCCTCTTGATTTCCCTTTTTTTGAATTGCCTGTCTCTGGAGGCCACACTGGCAGGATGGCTGACCCTGAGAGAAAGAAGCTCAAGAGAACAGGGGGCAGAAAGTCAGGCCAGGCTGTCAGGCTGTGGAGAGGAGAGAAAAAAAAGGGAAGATCTTCTTCCCTCTTATAGGAAGCTGTGGCTCCAGGAACGTGGAAGGTGTGCGGCCAGACCCACGCATACTGCAACCCATCTCTATCGTCTCCATCTTGGCCACCTTTCTGCATCCACAGTCCAGCCCAGTTGAGGGTCCTTGAAGGTGTAAGAGATCAGAAAGAATTTTCTTCTTAGACCTAGGATGAGGTGCTCTGAGTAGGAAGGTAAACTCTAATTTCCCCCTCAAAAGAGCTCTCCTCAGAAGGAGAAGATCACCTGATCTTCAAGGGAACAAGCCAAGAACCCGAGTGAACTTAGCTCAGTTTGGGACCATTTAAAAGCAGGAACATGACCATGGGGGATTCATTCCATGCTGGCTTTAGCCCAAGGAGGGGAAGTACTGGGGTGTGGGGTGGTGGTAATATGGAATCAATAAGAGAGCTAAGAGGTCTGTTCGCCAAAGTAATAGAAGAGAAAGTGTTAGCAGTTCCTGTTCTAGAAGCAGCTTACTCTCCAGGGAAGAAAGGACACAGTTTTATAAGGTTTCAAAGGGAAGAATATGAATGGGATGTGGGGGATTGGAATTGACCACCCCAAGGTATGTCTCTTTGGCATGAGGATTATTTTGGGCTGGTTACTTTTAAAAACTGCAGACATGAGAGAAGCTCTGAAAAGTAGAAGTTACCCTTTGTAAGAGACATTTACATTTGTAAGGGAAATCTCCATCTGTAAAGGTGTCTCCCTCTCTGTACCAGGAAGAACAGGGGATGACCTTATCTCTAGAAACTCTTATCAGTGTGGAAGGAAAGGACCTAAATCTGCATAATAACCTTATTCTTGTTTACTGTACTTGTCTAATAATCTTCCATAACTGACTCCCCCCACTCCCAACATCCTCCTTTGTCTTTAGCTGAGGATGGTATTTAAGGTGAGAGCTTCCGCCATTTTGGCAACTTGCTCAGTTTTCCTGAGCCTCTCCCGTGTATACATGTTATAAAGCTTTGTTTAATTTTCTCCTGTTATTCTGTCTCATGTGAATTTAATTCATAGCTCAGCCAGAAGGACCTAGAGTGGGTAGAGGAAATGTCTTCCTCCCCTACAAGAACATACATGAAGATGAAGGCTTGGGAAGTAAGGGCATAAGATGCAAACTTGGTGGCTCCTGGTACTGTCTCAGAGAGCGTGTTTTGCACTTGGGAACATCACAAAGCCTTGATACGGAAAGCACCGCAAGGTGAGGATCTCGGCTTTTCCCTCGGCAGCGACTTCAACGCCCAACAAAGTGTAAAAAGCATATTTTACTCATGCAAACGTACATGTGAGACCACTGGGGGAAAGTATGCCATAAAAAAATAGCAAGCATCAAGCAGATGTGTTGTAAAGGAAAGAAGAGCAGACTAGGAATTGCAGACTGAAAAGCTTTTTCCTCTCTGGAGCCTGAATACTAACGCGGGCATTGTTCCTCTGTCAGACAGCCCTGACACGGAGCGTTACTGCCATAGAGCATTTATCCCTGTTAAGGGCGGATCATGGCAGCTCTTGACGAAACCTCCAAATTACAGCTTTTATAATTTTGTTATTCTTTTTGTGCCACAAAGTCTTACGCTGTGTGTGAACTTAAGGCAATTAACTCCATCAGGAAGAAGAGAAAGACTTGCCTTGACTTTTCTCTTTCCAGATGCCAGATCAGATGCTCTGATAGTATCACCCTCAAGCGCCACCTTCAGGCCGTTCCTCAGGACTGCGGTGGAAATTTCCAGCCATCTCAGCCTTGCATATTGTACAAGAACTTTCCAAGAAACACTTGTATTTTTGGCGACTGCTTTTCACCGGAGATTTGATTATTTTATAATGACCAAATAGTAGAGGGGCCTTTCTTTTTTTTTTTTTAAAGGGGGCTTTCTAATGTTTATCCTGGGAGCCCCAAATGGAAAAATCAGTGGACTGAAGACTCAATTCAGTTGAAAAACTGGTTCGATTCATTAGTCACTGAGGTGATTGGCTAGATGAATAGAATTTCTTAGATATTTAACCAAAATCCAAGACAATCCGGATTCCTTATTTTAGCTAATAATTTCAATAACTTTCCAAACTTCAAAGCTGGCTTTTCTCTCCAGTTTTATTTTTTTAAACCAGAAGCTGGCAATTAAGTATCTAGATAATATTCCTCTTCATTTTCATGTAGGGATTCTGATGAACAAGAAAAAGAGAAAAAAAGTCAAACTAATATGTCATGACATTCACCAACTACCTCTCATTAGTTGAAAACTGTTTCGGAATCCAATGCTATGATCCGAGTCCCCTCCCAGCTGTCCCTTGGCCTCTCATTCTTCACTCCTACTGGCTGCATTAGAGATGGACTTGGCTCTTGGCTTTCAGCTCTGCCACTTTCTGAATGACCATATCATTGAGGATGCTCTCAGCTGCAAGCAACGAAAAACGCAATGGAACCTGGCCAACTCAACCTTTCTTAACTCCCTTAAACAGAAGGTCCAGGGAGAGGGCTGTGCCCGGGTTGGGTAATTCATTTGCTCAATAACATCTCAAGGATCCAGGCTTTCCTCCTCTTTTTTCTCTGACAACGTTAATATACTGGCTTTTGTCCTTAAGATCGAGTCCACAGTTCCAGGCATCACTCTTGGGGCAGCATAGGCTGTTCCATCAGTACAATAACATGCGTTTTGAAAAGAAAGGAAGCCCGTTTTCTTAGAAACCCCCAGAACACTCTCCCTTCACGCTGGTGAGAATGGAAATTACCATTTGTCGTTTAGGTGTGTGATTCCTAGCCCTGGTTGCACATTAGAATCACCCGGGAGCTTTGTAAAACCGCTAAGGCCTATAACTCACCCCAGAGAGGCTGATTTAACTGGCCTGAGAGGGTTCCAGTGTGCAGCCAGCATTGAGACCACGGGCTGAGTCTAATCAAGATTCCCTTGCCTGGCCCGGAGAGCACGAACTGTCTGATACCCCAAATCAGGTTCTAATACAGGGAGGAGGTCAGGTGGAGATGGCGGTTTGGCAGGCAAGGAAGCACGTGATCCGTTACAATCCATTACACTTCAACTTTTTGCCTGGGAAACGAGAATTATAAGACTTGTCTTGCAGGGCCTGTCTGCAAGGGTTGTGGCTCAGAAAACTGAGATGGGGCAGAGGGAAGAATTCCAATCTTACATACTCATCAGATCTCCAGACCTCACAGAAGACCATTCTGACTTTCTTCTTCTCCCCAGTCCCCCGTCCCCCCTGCAGGACGAGGCCTCAGGGTTGGGTGGTGACAGGGGCAAAGCCGCCCCTCACTTTGCTGCTCTTCTAAAGCTTTCTCTATCCCCCTCCTCTCCAGGCAGCTTAACATTGCAGTGTGCGGGAGGCAGGGGTGGGGGGTGGAAGGTGGGGGGTCCGAGAACCAAACAGTTTTTCTGGCTCAGTTAAACTGTACTCCCTAATAGTTACTTCTCAAACTCAGGCACTCTCTTGAGTTTCCTGAGTTGAAGATGCTCTGAAGGTGCAGACGTCTAGCACCGAGGGTCTTTGTTCCTGGAGGTCTTCCTGGAAGCTCTCCGGAAATCAGATCTTTCCAAAGGGCTCCCATCACAGGCTTGCAGGGCTCTAGTTATTTTACGTTTCAGGGCCCTTCTTCCCTGGGTGGGACAGGGTGGGAATGATGTAACATACCCTCATACTTGACCTGGAACAGCCATTCCATAGGACACCCGAGCCCAGCTGCCTGGACCCGTCCTCTCTGCCAGAGTCCTTGTCCACTCAAGGGATTTCTTCCAGAGCCTGGTTTTCTTGCCCTCAAGTCTGACTCTTATGGGGATTCCCAGCCTATCAAACGTGTATGTCTGAATATGCCTTTCAGCATTCCTTCAACAAATATCTGTGGGCCACCAGCTATGTGCCAGGCACCGTCTGAGGCCCTGGGAACTCAGCAGTGAACGAAATGTGCAGGGCCCTGTTTCCATGGAGCTCATACTTGGGTAGGGTGACACGAGATAGTCAACAACATGCAAACCCGACCAGACATTGTCAGACAGAGATAAAAGAACAAGAGAGGAGGGTGGGGTAGTGGGGTGGGTGGGCTACTTCAGAGAGGGTGTCAGGGAAGAGGGGTCTCTGAGGGGAGATATTTGAGCTGGGGCCTGAACAATAAGACCCAGCCACACAGAGGGCTGGGGGAGGAATGTTTCAGACAGAGGGAACAGTGAGAAAGGCCTCTTAGGTGGGAACAGACTTAGGGTATTGGAGGAACAGTGAGAAGTGGGCTGGAGTAGAGGGGATGGGGTCCAAGCTCGTTCCAAGGGCACACGTGGAACTTAGGCCAATCCCAGGCTAGGACTGGACTCCCGTGTTAAGGGTTCCTAAGAGGCAATGTGACAGTTGAGAAACTTCCCAGATGTTCCATGACAGGAGCCTTATCTTTTCAAAGAACATGAGACTCCCCAGGCACAGCATTCTACCTCCATCTGCCCACCGAAAAGGGACTCACCTTCAACTCTAAGGACAGAAACAATCCTTTACATGTCACCTGGTTCTGGCTCATGACAAATCTGTTGGCTCTCTGAAATACTTTCTATGTGAATCTCTATCCCCATGACAGGACACAGAATTTTTTTCCTGTGCTCCGAGAGCCGTCTTACGTTCTCAGTTGATGGGACCTGGTGGGGCAGGACATTCTGTACATTCCTGGGTGGTGTACAGCATTGCAAATGCTCTCAGCCGGTGAGTCGAAAATATTCTGCAACATGCAACTTTACTCTTGCTATTGATTTGTATGCTCAAGAAGATTAGAGTATGTCCCAGTTAAGAGACGGGCTCCGTGACCTGGGCGGATCGCAGCGAAGAGGAAGAGAGGATTTGCTCCTACTCCCAAAAGTCAGGTGGTTGAGAGGATGAAGCAGTTTTGAGGAGGCACAAAAACACGGAGGTCAAGGATTCTCCCACTTTGGGTTGGGGAGCTACAATCCCTCTTATTTATTAACTTGTCAGGATATCGAACTCTTAATTTGTTTATGAACCCACTGAAGCTGAAATGTGGGAAGTCGGTAGGAAAATGTAAAGATACCCTTGTGTTGGATATTTTAAGGAAATGCCAAGTTTTCCAGGGAAGTTTTACTAAAAGTAGATCAGGAACAAGAGGGAAATTATGTAACTTTAGGAATAGAAGCCACATTGACCTGTAACCAGCAATGCGAGGCTGCAGAGGGTGCTCGTTGTCAGGGCCTGGCCTCCCAATGCGGACTCTAGAGCAGAGGAAGGCAGAAGGCGTCACCAACCCCCTCCTATCTCAAGCTGGGCATGGAGCAAAGAGCCTGAGATGCTGTTGGCCAAATGCTAGCCGGTGCTGGTTAAACCAAGCTGATAACTTCTTTTCTGGTTTCTCCATCAGCTTCGCCTTTCATGCTGTGGCGTTGGAAGCACTCAGCTGGATGAGCTGATGTACAGCTGGGGTGCCAGCCAAGCCAGGGGGCCCGGGGCTGGAAGGAACATGGGGCGGGACCGCAGGCCTGGCCATTCAGGAGGCCTCTCCACCTAAAGCTCTGCTGGGGGCTGTGGCCTCCCAGCTGAGACCTAACCACTGTGCTGACTCACCATGATTGTGGTTGAGAAAAACCCAGCGACCTAATGGCTCCCATGCACCCTGGTGCTACAGAATATAGGCCAGGGAGCCTCAGCCGGAAAGGGCTTTAGTTAGCCAGAAACCAACTTTGTTCTGCCCTCTCCCCATTTCCCTTTTATGATCTGGAATTACAAGGGGCCCAAGAGGACTCTGGGCATTTCCCTCCCTAGTCCCCTGGGGGACCATGGAGCCAGGTCAGGAAACAGGGCAGAGGGCAGGAGCGGCGTCTGTCTCCAGCCCTCTGGAATGCTGCAAATCCTCTCTTGCTCTTGTTGGGTTTTCTGCTACAGCCAAAGCTGGATCTAGCAGGTTCCCTACCTCAGTCCCTTGGCAAGCTTAGCTCCTGCTTCCCAGAGAACTGGAATGACCCTCTCCAGAGACCTCTAGCAACTTCTAGAGCAGGCTGCAGCCTGCATAACTCAGGGACAAGGGTAGGGGAGTCAAGGGGTTAGGTGAGTGGGGGGTACAATCCACATTGTGTTTGACATAGATGGTGCCCCCTGGAGTACTGCAAAGGAGCAGGAAGACAGGTGTCCAGGGGTGCGCACCCCACTCCCAGATTCTCTGCCCAGACTAACGCCCCCGATGCTGACATCTTAAGTCTGCACCTAGCATTGTCCCTGGCCCATTAAGGCACTACATAAATACTTGTTGAATATATAATGGTGTGGAAGACAGAATAACAACCCCCCAAAGTTCTCATCATAGTCCCAAGGACCTGTGAATATGTTAACCTTATGTGGTGAAAGGGGTTTTGCAGGTGTGTCGATGTTATGGCCCTTGAGACGGAGAGGCTAGCCTGGATTATTCAGGTGGGCCTATTCTAATCACCTGAGTCCTTCAAAGCAGCCAGCCTTCCCCAGGCGCGGTCAGAGGGAGAAACGTGACTATGGAAGAAGAGAGGCAGTGTGAGCAGAGTTCCATGCAACTGTTGCTGGTTCTGAGATATAAAGAGCTACATGTAAGGACCAGAGAGAGTGAAGGAGACAGCATTTTCCAGTTGAGAGCTAGCAAGGAAACAGCGATCTCAGTCCTACAACCCCTGGGCACTGCTAACTCCTGAATGCGCAAAGGAATGGATTCTCCCCTGAGCCTACTCAAAGGAACACAGCTCTGCTGAGGCGGTGGTTTCAGTCCAGTGGGTCTCATGGGACTTCTGACTCTCAGAACTAAAACGCAGTATCTTTGTGTTTTAAGTTGCTACAGTTATGGTAATTTGTTATGGCAGCAATAGAACACTAATACAAATGGCTACAGAGTGGAATATATCTTGTAACTGAACATAGTGTTCTTGCCTCTGGCCTCCCAGTTCCTTGGCGGCTGCCAGGGGTGGAGAAGTCCTTTCTCCTGGTTGGCTGCATTCTGGTGCTGGGGAAGTCATCCCTCCTTCCAGTCCTATATACTTCTTGGCACATCTGGTTTACTTCTCTGCTGGTGTCCACTGCCGGCATCTCCACCTGCCTGGCCCCTGGGACAGATGTTGCTGGAGGCTGGCCTTTTCAGGAAGCGCTCTGAACCTCAGGTTTCCTATCTGTAGAATGGGGATAGGTTACTGCTTCTTGTCATCTCTGCTACTTCGTGTCATCTCTGCTGCTTTGCAGAGGCAGCTGCTTGCTCCTTACCCTAGGCAGGTGGTCCACACCTGTCTCTATGCTCCTCTTCTTTCCCCCAAGTGTCCTCCTGGGGCTGGCAAGTTGTCTCAGGTTCCAGCTAATGCCTCCAGACCAGGTTGGGTCCAAGGAAACACATGGGCCTCCTCCACTACAAAACTTGATTCCAGGGAAGCCTGAAAGTGGCTTCCAGCCCCTCCCACCTGCCTGTGCCATGCACTCTCCCACTTCCTTTCTCCCAGATGTGTCTCTGGGGGCTGCTGCTTAGGAAACTCCAGCTGGGGGAGAACATGTGACAAATAGAAATGGCAAGCAATAGGATATATTGGAGTATATGTGGAAACCATTTGGTGTAAACCTAATTTGGCCCAACTTTGTTTTTTCCAAAAGGGCCTGACGTGGCCATCGAGCATGCATTGTATATCTGCTTTAAACATTTCCTATGGGAAGAACAAATGCCCTTAAGATAAAGGTGCAACTCCCCCTATGTTGGCATTTCCTTAAGGATAAGCATCCTTGCCTAGGCTAGGAACTGATTACTGTGCTCACCTGTGACCACCCAGCTTGAGACAACAGACCTGCCACCCTGCTATGTCCATCGAGACAGCAGAGCTACTATCTGCTGTGTCCATCAATTGCTGTGCCGACAGAGCAGTCTCGTGACTATTGTAAAAGGGACATTTCAATCATACATGAAACATCCTCTTTGAGGGTGTATAACCACTCTGTCCACCCCACTTCTTTGGCGCCCTTCCTTCTTTGGGGAAGGAAGGCCCCGGGCCATGGTCCTCACATTATGGCTCAGAATAAACTCACACCAATTTTCATTTATAGATTGGTTATGGGTTATTTGCATTGACACATGTGATCTCTCCTCTCCTCAGATGGTTTGTGGGGAGTCATGCTTATTTCCTTCCTCCTCCCACTACTTGGGACAAAGCCTGAGTATTGATGTCAGTGGTGGTGATGAGGATGGTAGAAGAGAAGCCACATGCCCCTTCTTATTAGCTCTTCTTTTAAACTTTTCTCTCCTTTCCTCGTTAGTCTCTTTTACAACTGATACTCCAGCAGGGGGACAAATAAAGCAGCCATTCCTCATCACAAAGACCGTAAGTCTACTGGTTATTCACAGCTGGTGCAGTGTTTTTGGAATCTTGTAGTTTGGTCTAGACTCCAGTTTCTTGGTTCTTAGCCCTCTTTGGGGGTTGGCAGCAGAGAAAGAAAGAAGAACAGGTAATTCGATTCCTCTGGTTCTTTGTGTGCAAAATTTAAAGCCCTAGCCCAAGCTTAGGAGTGGATGTTGCATCTTAACGACCAGGACACCAGCAGGACAGCTTTCCCCAGGCCCATGTCTTCTCAGGCCCGCCCCAGGTCTCAGGGCCCTCCTTGATCACTCAGGTTGGATTTACTTTGTTCCTTGCTTCCTCTGGGCCTCAGTTTCCCCAGTCTAGGCCAGAAGGAATTTGTCGTATAAAAACATCTAGTCTCGATAGAGGATGGTTGGTCCTTTCAGCCTGCAGTCTTCTCAAGGTTCATTATTCAATCAGTTTCCTCCAGGTCCATGGGTGGCCTGTAGGGGATGAGACCATGGTGCGCCTAGACTTGCTGTTCTGGAAGCCACCTCAGCTTTCAGTGGAGATAAGCCCTGGCCCTGATTTATACTTTGAGTCTGGAAAGTCCCTTATTGAATTTAGAATCAGAACTAGAAGACTAAACAGATCCCCCAGGGATTCCTTTTATGGTTTCCAGAACAGGAGAACTGACTGGTCTTGGGTTACAGCCACTGCCCCCTGGCTCCACTCCCCTCCCCTCCACTAGACCTTGGAGAGGTTCCTCTTTGGGTGGTGAGGATGTCACTTTTGGGTGAGATCAACAGGTGCAAAATGATGAAGCCCATCTGCAGGCAGCTGTCTTTTCTGAGGGCCCAGAGAAAATGGCTGCAGCTTCCGGCTTGGAGGGCCTTGCTGAGAAAGAACCTTGTGCCTCTGGTAACTTCAATTTCCTAGTGCTGACTGTGCCTCAGACGCTGTCCTGGGCTCTCTATGAGCATCATCTGCCTTCATCCTACAGGACCCTGAGGAGGGAGATGCTCTCGTTATTCCCAGGAGAGGGAGGCGGGATTCCTTGGGAATCAGCTCAGGGTTATGGCAACAGTCAGACTGCTGGGTTTCACTCTCCGACCTCTTACTTTGTAGCTCTGGATGAGATATAAACTCGCTCTGAGCTTCAGGTTTCCTATCTGTAAAATGGGGACAGGGTTACCTAATTCATAAAGTTGCTGTGAAGATTAAATGAAAAAAGATCCATAAAGTTTCTTGCACAGAATAAGTGATTAATACATGGCCTCTGCCCCCACCCGTCAAATGTAGAGCAAAACTTTGGCATGATCCGCCTATAATTCCGGGGCTTACAGCAGTTTTAACCAAAAACAGTTCGGTAGAGTCCCATCCAATGTGATCTAAGGTCTCTAACTCTCCTTCGTCCCAGGAGAATTCAAGAACGCTATCGGGGGCTCAGTCTGACCAGCGACAGGCCGTCATCTCCCCTCCCCCACCCCCAAGGGTCAGGGCTCCAGCGGTGGAGGGCGGGCAGGAGACTGTTGCCTTTCAGCACCGTCTGACCTGCCTCTAGTCTTGCACGTCTTTCTTACTGATTTTGTGGAAGTGGTTAATTTAGCCTTTTGCTAACCTTTCATTGAAATGATGTCTAACGGCATTCCTTTCCATTTTCTACGTGTTGTATTCCCCATAACTCAATTTTCTTCAGGGTTGACTTTTGGCCTTTATTTTTCCATTAACACAGCCCTAGTAAAGCTTTAACCCACAGTCCATCTTGCATCCCCACACTTCTTGAATGACAGCACAAGACACTGTCAAGCTGATCATATTGAGAGTGAAACTGCCACCTAGTGGCCATTGCGTGGTGACTGCTTTTTTTTATGAGCTCCCTTGTCACTGGTATTTGAAAAAAATTCAGAGTTGATGGTTTTCTTTTAAACCAACATAGAAGCTGTGACATGAATCAGACCAAGCAATGTATCTGCTTCAAAACCTTATTGGAAACAGGTTGAGTGTAGATGAATATTTTCAAATAAAAATGAAACAAAATCATGAAACAAAAATCAGACTGACATGCATTGGAGTGCCAAACTAGACACTCCAGTTTTCCTTGAGCTAAACTAAAATCCAAATGAAGCCCCACAAAGGCGAAACAAGCAAACCAACAACAAACCACCCAAACCAAACAACTCGACAAAAAATGCAATGGCTGTGTTCCTTTATCCAACATGTATCTACCAAGCGTTGGGCTGGCTCTGGCCAGAGCCCAGAGGTTGAGCAGGCACCGGAGCAGCTCATCCGAATACACTATGGTGCTTTAAGATTGGGGAACGGAGAATGCAGTGGGAGACCACAAGGATGACTCGCTGACTCTGTAGGACAATGAAGTCTGAGTTGAGTTGTCCAGGTGTGACTGGACCAGAAGTGGGTTTGCTCACCCGCCCTGCAGCAAACCAATCTCTGACACCAGGTGTAGTGGAAGAAAGTGGGAATTTCATTGCAAAGTGCTGAGCAAGGAGAGCGGGCAGCCAAGGCTGCAATCCTGAACTCTCTGGAGAGCTACAAGCAAGGGTTTTTATTTGGGGTTTTAAGCAGGGGAGGTGGAGTGTGGGGCCTTGGGGGCTGAAGTTCTGATTCCTCTGTGCAGGCACGACTCTTTCATATTCTTCATGGGTTACACGTGCAAATTTTGGGAGCGGGGGCACCTGTGTGCTGCATGCAGTGGATTTTTAGTCTGTGATGTCTAAAGTTTACAATCAGTCACTTTAGCTTCTCAGTGAACCTGCATGACATTTAGCTGGGAGGAGGGGGGGCTGTCAGCAAGCTCCCCCATCACTGGTCTTCCTGCTGTTCTGCAAAACAAGTGCAGACACTCTGGTTCCTTTGTTTCCCACTTCAACCTTGTGCACAGGAGGCACAGTTTTGCTCTGATTCAGGGAAATTTGAACTCCTCCATTCTTGGTTTCAAAGGAAGATTCGAATTTGTCTGGTAGGAGGGACAGAGGGCAGGAAGGGAATTCCACCTGCCTCAAGGAAGAGCCCACACAAGGCCAGGAGAGGTGGAAGAAGAGGACGAGTGGAGGGGTGAGTGAGATGAGCAGTGTGGCTGAAAGACGGAACTCAGTCCAAGGCCTGTATGACAATGCGTTTGTGGATCACTTATTTTATGTAATTCTCAGCTACCTAGTTCATTCAAAGTAGATATACAAAGGTAAGAGACATTGAGAGAAATTTAAGAAGACACAGAAGCTTGCTGTAAAGATGTCAGTTCTCCCCACTTTAGTCTATAGATTTAAAGCAAACCAAATAAAAATCCTATAGATTCTTTTCTTTTGTGCAAATTGACAAGCTGCTTCTAAAATTCATTTAGAAATGCCAAGGGCCAAGAATAGCCAGGAGAATCTTGAAAAAGAATAAAACTGTAAGACTTATACTACCACATATCAAGACTTTTAATAAAGCTAAAGGAATTAATCATTACAAAACTGGCAGGCGGGGACCACCCCGTGGCCAGGTGGTTAAGTTCGTGGGCTCTGCTTTGGTGGCCCAGGGTTCCGCTGGTTTGGATTCTGGGTGCAGACATGGCACCACTTATCAGAAGACCTGCAACTAGAACATACAGCTATGTACTGGGCGCTTTGGGGAGGAGGACAAGAAGAAGAAGAAGAAAAAAAGAAGATTGGCAACAGATGTTAGCTCAGGTGCCAATCTTAAAAATAACTGGTAGTAGCTACTAGAAATGAACATCTGTACACTCTCTGACTTAGCAATTCCACTCCTAGGTATACGCCCAACAAAAATGTATAGATATTTAACAGAGGGCCTGCCTCATGGTTTAGTGGTTAAGTTTGGCATGTTCCACTTCAGTGGCCTGGGCACAGATCTATATCACTTTTCTGCAGACATGCTGTGGCGGCAACCCACGTACAAAACAGAGGAAGACTGGCACAGATGTTAGCTCAGGTTGAATCTTCCTCAAGAAGAAAATAGCATAGATATTTAACAGAAATGTATACTAGATTATTCAAAGCAGCACTATTCATAATAGCTCAGAACTATGACTATTCAAATGCCCATCAACATTGTGGTGTCTTTGCACAATGGAATTCCATATAGCAATGAGAATGAATGATTTTCAACCACATACGAGACTATGGATGCATTTCACAACCATTATGTTAAGAGAAAGAAGCTAGACTCAAAGGAACACATACTACATAATTCTCATTAATAAAGTG